AATCTAATTTTATTTTACTTTTTCATATATACGGGAATGGTGTGTGTGTGTGTGTGTGTGTGTGTGTGTGTTCTCTGTTTTCCAAATCTTCACCCCCATACTGTTTTGTAATGCTCCTGCTGTCCTATGTTAAATTTCTGGAAGCTCTATTTAATTCCATTGGTCACTTAATCAGTCTCTGTCCTACGTTTCATCTGGAGGGGTGAGTACTCCTACCATCTTAGTCTTCAAAATTGTCTCAGATATTCTTGGCACTCTCTGTTCAATATGAATTTTAAAATCAAGTTTAGATAAAAACAACAACAAAAAAATCCTGTTGATATTTTGATTAAAATTGCACTAAATTTATAGACTAATTTGGGAAGAACTGACTGCTTTATGATACTGAGTTTTCTCCTCCAGAGAATATTTACACTTGCTTTTGCAGATACCTGACAGCACTGCCAACCTGGATCCAATTTAAAACTGTTGGGTGAAGGGCTTTGGACTATATGGTAGTCTGAATTTAGGCCCCACACATGCATGAAGACTGGCTTGTGGTTAGAAATTCAGAGGAGATATTCTGACACTCCTCTACCCAATGCCATAGTCTAGATCAGTGGTTCTCAACCTTCCTAATGCTGCGACCCCTTAATACAGTTCCTCATGTTGTGGTGACCCCCAACCATAACATTATTTTCGTTGCTACTCTATAACTGTAATTTTGCTACTGTTATGAATCGTAATGTAAATACCTTTTTGTTTTTCGATGGTCTTAGGCAACCCCTGTGAAAGGGTCGTTTGACCCCCAAAGGGGTCATGACCCACAGGTTGAGAACTGCTGGTCTAGATGAACAAGGTGGTTTATTTCTAAATCACTTTTATGCTGGGACTTTGGAGTCCCAGCCTTATGCTGAGTTTTCTACTAGACTCCTTACCTTCAACTGGCCCTAGAATTAACTCTCCTGTCCTCTGTACATGTGAAAAAAGAAGCTCAAGGACACTAGCATTTGGCCGATGCCTCCACGGTAAAAGACAGCTGAATACCTGTATACTTCCTTGCTTTCCTACTTCCAGTTCATCTTTGGCCCTAGGATTCCTTTCTTTCTTATTAACTCAGCTATATATTAAAAATATACTTAAATTTTTATCCAGCATTTCTAATTTTAGTAGAAACGTTGCTCAGGATATTTTAAAATCTTCTATAGTCTAATTTTTATCTGCTTGATTTACTAGTTTTGGACAAAACTTTATTAAAATCTTTCACTATGATTATAGACTTGTAATTTCTTATTCATTCCATTTTCACTTTGTATATTTCAAGTTGCATACAAATTCATGATTATATATCTTGGCAGACTCTTCCTTTTATTATTGGGTTGTAGGTAAAGTCATGACGTATTTTTCTATGTTTTTCAATGCAAAAATGCATCATGACTTTCCCGACGACCCAATAGTATGTATTGTTTCATTTTTATCCTTATTAAAGCCTTTGATCTTCCATCTAGCCAATAATGATAATCTGTATCAGTTTTCTTTCCCCATTTTTGGGCCGTTTTATTTTTGGTATCTCTATAAAAAGTATAGATGATTTTGTTTTTTATTCAAATTGCTGTCTTTGTGTCTTTTAACAAAGCTCAATCCATTTATACTTACTGTGAACTACTCATATATTTGGAACTATTTCTACTTCTTATTTTCTATTTATCATCCCTTTCCTTTGCTTTATTATTATTACTTTTTTAAGCTTTCCTGTCTTCTGCATTGATCAAGTTTTCAATATTCTCTTTCCCCCATCCTCTGCTGGTTTAGAAGCTATAAACAGTATTTCTATTATTTTAATACTTTTAGTTTTTTCACAATATATATTTAATTATACATTGTTCTGGAAGAGTCTGAAATTACTTAATATTTCTACCTCCTCCCAAACAGGACATAGACCTTAACATGTTATATCTTCCTACTGAACAAAACGCCCCTGTACATACAACCTATTTGTTCTTATTTTCTAGAGCTACACTGTCCAATTTGGTAGCCATTAGCCACATGTGGCTTTTGAGTCCTTGATATGTGGCCATTCTGAATTGAGATGTGCTCTAAGTATAAAATATACACTGGATTTTGAAGATTTAGCATGAAAAATTAAAGTAAAATATCTCAATAAATTTTATACTGATTACATGTTGAAATAATATTTTAGACATACTGAGTTAAATAAAACATTATTAAAAATTAATTTCACATTTATTTTTTTCTTCTTTAATGTAACCACTAGAAAATTTAAAATTACACATGTGGCTAGAATTACAATTCTATTGGATAGTGCTAACCTAGAATTTCAGTTTTAACTTCGTTTTAAATGCACCTCCCCAACCCTCCCCCCTAAATTATCTTTCTGGTATTAATAATTAACATTTATCATTTCACTTAATTAAAATTCTTTTGGAATAACAGTTTACCTGGATATGAGATGGTATTGCCTTAGTATTTAAGATATTATTCATTTTCTCCTAGCATCAACTGCTGATGAGAAACCTGTTAGTTTCATTATTGTACCTCTGTAGGTAATCTAGCTTCTAACTTTGATGGCTTTTTTTTTCCCTAACTTTGATGGGTTTTAAGATTTTTTTTTTTTAATCTTTGATATTCTACAGTTTCACCACAACATGTCTAGATGTGGATTTATCTTTATTTAACCTACTTGACATTCTAGGGTTTACTTTTGATAGGATTCAAGTCCTTCTTCAATGCTAAAAATTCTCAGCCTTTGTGTCTTCAAAAATTAGTACTCCACTAATTTCTGCATCTTCTTTTTTTTGTAATTCTTATATATATGTTGGGGTCTCTCTATTAATCCTCTATGTCTTTTAACTACTGTTTCATATTTATATAATTTTTCTGTGTTCTGGATGAATTTTTTTGTACTATTTTCCAACCCATTAATTCTATCATCAATGGTTTATACATCAATGGGTAAGTTTACGCCATCTATTCATTTTATATACCAACTATATTTTTAATTTCCAAGAGTTTTAGTTGGTTCTTCTCCACATTAACCTGTTCTTGTTTCATCTCTTTCATTTCATAATTTATGAGCTCTCTTTAAACTGAAAGAACCCCTTAAATTATTTTTCAGCATCCTAAAAATGCTTTAAAGTTTTTTCTAATCAATGGAATACTATGCAGCCGTTAAAAAGAATAAGATCATCCCATGGATATTAATAGGGAATGATTTCTAAATATATATTAAGTGAACAAGCCAAGGTATATAATAATATGTGCAGAATGTTACCATTTATATAAAAGTGTATGTGTATGTGTGTATATGCTTGTACATGCACAAACTATCTCAAAAAGAATAGCAAGAAATTGGTAATAGTGGTTGCCTCTGGGGAGGGGAACTGGGTGGCTAGGGGACAGAGGTGGGAGATAGACTTACTTTTCACTGTTTACCCTTTTGTACCTTTGAATTTTGTACCACGTGCATGTATTACCTAGTCAAAAAAAAATAGATAATTTATTTTTAAAAATAAAGTCTTTGTTGGACTACTCCATAAAATTAATTTCATCCAGAGAAAATGTCTGTTCTAGTTTCTGATTTTGTTATGACATTAATATTAGATGTCTTCATGAGTTTCAAATTTTGGTTATAGGCTCATTTTGAGTAGGAAAGATTTTTATTATTTTTTTTTCTCTCTCTCTTCCTATTTAATGGTTTTATAGTTGCCCCCACTTGGATTTCTGGATTCCTAATCCACAACTAGACCTTATAAAGACATTAAGGCCTCCAGTTTCACGATAATATTGGAGCTATCACATGTATACATTCAATCACTGACTCAGCAATGGCTTCCTCAGTTCCTGGTCATGAGGAATTGTGTCTTTATCAGCTAAAACCTATAGCCCTAGGCAGTGAATAACTTTTTCCTTTTCTCAGACTTTCACAAATGGGACAGACATTCTACCCAAACCCCTGGCTTCACTTGGTAGTTCTGGCTCTGGTTTCTGCCTCACACAAGTGCTTTAGCACTTTTGATTCCTGACAGGAGCCAAACAACTACATGTCAGTGCCAGACGAAACCCTAGCGGGCTTGTGGTGTAAACCCTCCTAAAGCTCTTGTGTCTGTATTCCATCTCAGGCCCACAAAGATGTTTATTGTTGTTTCAGAGCCTGGCTATATCTTTTGTGCTATTTAATCTTTTGTTCTAAGTATTTAGAACACAGGGGTTACATTAAAACTTAGTAATGTCATCTTGACTAGAAGTAATTTCCATATTTCTTTTTTTTGAACATTAAAAGTAGTCATTATAAAAGTAATACAATTTCTTTACATAAAGTTTAGAAAATAGAAAATTACTCATAATCCATCTATTCCAACTCATCCACTGTTAGCATTTAAAATATTCTCTTCTAATCCTTTTTCTTCTGCATCATGTCATATTGGTTCAATTTTTATCATGATTTTTAACCTATATTATTCCAAATTTGTCCATGTTGAGATATAGTCTCTGTGACCATCATTTTAATGACTGCATATTAATCCACCAAGTTGTTCAACTGTTATCTACTTCCCACATAATTGAGAATTTAAAAAGCTTCCAACACGCAATAAAGATGTTCTCTGTGTTTATGTGCTGTTTCCTCTCAATAGTCTGGATTTTGGTGGGCGAAGGTGGTGAGACAGGCTAAGTAATGGGATCGCCATAATTCTACACAGATCATTAGCCCAAAGGCATTACAGGACTATCAATAATACTGGCTGAGGTTCATAATGATGACCCTAATATATAAAAAGAAAATCATATGAAAGTGAAAAATGCATTTCAGAAAGATTCCAATCCAAAATATTTAACAGTAAGTTTTATAATCAAAGGGATAAGTTTCACAAAGGATAAGAGTCACAACTTACAAATGTGTTCATCTAGCACTGCTGGACAAGGCATTACAAATTTTCATGAACTTCTAAAACAGGATATTTGGGTCACACTAATAAAGTTCACTATTTCAGTGCAATACTAACCTGATATTATTTACACAGTCTTCATGAGCTTCAGAAAGTGTTTTTATGTGCTTTGATGATATGGGGTCAAAAAGCAGAACTTCAGTCTGTTCGCAAGCAACTGTCAGCACTGACCTGAAAGCAAATGACACATTTCTCTTGTTTAGTTTTCTAGCATTCTCTGGTTATTGATATTCATCTATTTATAATTACATAAGCTATAAGTGAATAACTTCTTTTGCCCATGTTAATAGGAAATATTTAAAATACTGACACTATCGGGCCGGCCGAGTGGTGCGTTGGTTAAGAGCTAAGGCTTGGGATGCCAGAGGGCCCCGGTTCGGATCCCACATATGAGGGCCAGTGACACTGCCCTCTACAGCTAAGATGCTGAACAACAGCTCAACCTGGAGCTGGGATGCCATGAGTCACCGGCAACGGCGGCGTAGGCTGCAGCCCCTGCTGCAGTGGGTTGCCATGGGCTACCGTGTGTAGCCAGCAGCCAGCGTGAGCGTCCCAGCAATCGCAGTGAGCGGCCATCCAGAAGCCAGCGACTGATCTGCCTCGCCCAGGAAGAGCGCAATGATGGTGCCAACTTGGGCCAGTGAAGCAACGTCCTCCACAACTAGACTGAAGAACAAAAGGACAGCAACTTGTCTGTTCCCCTTCCCCCAATTCCCCAGGGCTGTTCCCATCCCCCAATTCCCCAATAAAAATCTTAAAAAAAAAAAAATACTGACACTATCTACTATTGGCAATATTAGAAAATGGGTACTCTCATATACTATGGTGGAGTATAAACTGGTGCAGCTTATGTTTGGAGAGTACCAGTATGTATCAAAATTTTAAATATGCATACCTTTTGAGTCAGTAATTTTTTCTGGGAATTTAATCTAGAGACAATCATTCATAAGTACGAAGTATATATATATATATATTTCATTGTAAGGAGAAATTGAAAGAAACCTAAATGTACATGAAAGAAGGAATGATTGAATATATAAGCCATGGTACATAACACTTTGCAATATGGTGCAACATTTGAAAAGAGATAGCTTCCCAAACATATTTTTAAATGAGAAAAGGTGGTTTCAGAAAAATATGTATAGATGAGGCAACTTAGGGGGAAAAAATCATATGCAACAAAATTATGTATTTCTTTATCAGTATCTATTAAAATACAATGAAAAAGGTCTGGCATATATCCTACCAGTTAGATACAGTCAAACAATCTTTTTCTTTATGTTTTTTTAGTATTGTCTCTTGTTTCAACCCTTCCCTGTCACAAAGTTATTCATAAACCTTTTACAAGCCCCATTTTGATTTCTGAAAAATCTATTGTTTTTACTGACTTTGATTAAGTCTAGTTTTCCGTGGGCACTCCTCTTTCAAATTCACATCTAGTAAATGAAATGCTGAGTCTGAAACTGTAGGTCCTCCCAATTTATATTTCCAATAACAAATGGAATTTTTTTTTTTTAGCTGAGACATTCTGCCACCTGTTGGCAGCTCAGCGGCATCTCAACTCAGGCCGGGACTCGAACCGCTGTTGCTCAGAGCTCACACTCTTGAGCGAGTTCTTAACCAAATGAGCCACTTGGCCGGCCCAACAAATGGAATTTTGTACACTTAAGATGAAAGTGCATAAAATAGAATTTTAAATTGTCAAATTTTTCTATTCAGAAAACATTTTTTAGATAAAGTGGGAGAGGGATAAAATAGCTGCTAAATTGAAATCTTTTCCATATTTAGTAATCATGAAATCGTCCTTTAAAGGGTGTCTGCATAAATCCTTTTTTGAGATATCTGGACTTTAAAAGTTTAGTATGTGAAGGATTTTTGTGCTAGTTGATCATCATGAGTAAAAACTATTCAAATTAATATCTATAATTTTAGAAGATGTATAAACAGCCATTTCTTTTTGTTAGTTAAGAGTCATGGAATAAACTTTTCTCCTTTTTGTGCATAAAAGTAAACGAATCAATGAATCTGGAAATCTTAACCTTAAACATTGTAAATAGGAGATCTATAAACAGTTATTGTTTTGTATTAACCCAACTACAATCTATTTTTGTATGTCATGATTTGTACCTTTTTTAAAATGTATATTATTTGTCCCAATATCAAAGCCTACACTTTTCTCATTGGTTTGAAATACCATCTTTATCATATATAACTTTTGTTTTGTACTCTATAATCTATTCTATGTAACACCACCACACTATTTTAATTTCGAAAAGGTTTATAATATATTTAATATGTAGCAAGGCAAGATACCCTCATTGCTTTATAAACATTTTTTGGGAGGCTAATATCATGTTTTCTCTTCCAAATGAACTTTAGATATAGCATGTCAGGTCCTACTAAAACATCTTATTGGTATTTTTATTGAGATGCCCTGACTTTTCAAATTAATTTAGTAGAATTTATATCGTACAATATTGTATTATTCCATCAGTAATATGCATACCTTCCCACATACTCGAGGTTTTCTTAGCAAGAGTGTCTTAGCAATTCTTGGACCTTTGAACATCCTTACACATTAAGAATCAACTTAACAAGTTACACACACACAGACACACACACACAAATCCAGATGTGGGTTTTAATTGAGATTGTTCTAAATCTACAGAAACCTAGCATAGGACTGACATCTTTACGATATGGAGTCTTCTACTCCATGAACATGGTCCATCTCCATTTACCATGGAGTCTCCATATGAGTCATGCCTATCTTTTATTACATGTATTCCTGGGTACTTGACCTTTTTTTGATGCTTTTGTAAAAGTCCTTTTAAAATTTTGCTATGTTTCTTGCTGATGTAAGAAATGCAACTGATTTTTAAAATATTTATCCATGAATATTGCTATTTTAATACTTTACCTGTAGATTATTTTAGGTTTTCTTTGTCGATAATCACACCATCTACAAACAACTGCTTTTTTCCTTTTTAATACTTTTTTTTCCCCCTTGCTGCATTCATTGGCTAGGACTTTCAGTACAATGCTGAATAGAAAATGTTAATTTAGCGGGCACTTTTGTCTTGTTCCTGATCTTCAAGAATACATTCACCATTTCATCATTAAGTACAATGTTTGCTGTAAGTTTTTTATTTTTGTTTTGGTAGATTCTATTATTGAATTAAGGAAGTTCTCTTCTACTGCAAATTTGTTGTTTCTTTTCTCATTAACATAAGTTGAATTGTAAAAAACACTTTCCACCATTTACTGAAATTATCTTATATTTTCCCTTTAAGATGTTAATATAGTAATTTACAATCAATTAAATTTTTTT